TCGTAAGTGTGTCTGTGTGTTTGTGTTTGTACCTTGTAGACATTATGTTGATTTGTGAACATATTTTTTATATTGGGCTGGCAACTAAGTTCCTGCCGTTTTTTTTTTATTTAATTCTTTTTTAAAAGGTTTAATAAAAAATAACAACCAATTAATCAATAATGTATTCGCCTTTGTTGCTTACAACTACTTCCTAACGTTCATCAAGATTTTCAATTCCTCGTTGGTAGAAATCACCCTGTTTCAAATTGAAAAATTCATCCAACCTAGTTCTCAATTCTGCATCAGTATTAAACGAAACTCCGTGTATAGTATTTAAAATAAATCTAAAGAGGTGGAAAATCCTTGGTGCCAAATCGGGAAAGTACAGTGGGTGTGGCAGCACTTCCCAGCCATACGTTTGAATGGATTCCTTGGTCATATTGGCGATATGAGGGCGAGCGTTGCCGTGCAGCACTTCGGAACCTTTCCCATCGAGTGAAGATGCTTTTCTATAGCAGTGTGGGAGCATTCCATTTTCTTTCCAGTTCTCTTTTCGTTTGACGAGAATTTTCGTGCAAAAGTTTATTTAATCTCTCTTCATCGAACTCAACTAGACGGCCAGAACGAGGTGCATCTTTGAGGTCAAAATTTCCATTTTTGAACTTGGCATACCAAACACGAACAAGCGGTTTTTTCAGCTATGGCATCCTCTCCGTACACAGCACAAATGTTGCAAGCAGCTTTTGCGGCGTTAGGACCTTTATTAACCCTAGAACACTAACCATGAGCATATAGTACCCATCGCAAATTTTCCTATTTTTAATTACAATTTTCAGTACCTGATTTTCTTACCTAAATAATATGTTTTTTCTGTTCCAATCAATGTTAACCTAAAGTACAAAGTTTGAAGTGCCTGCAGTTAAAATTTATATTTAATATTTTTTTTGATATTTTCAAAATCGGGTATGATATACCCTTGGTTAGTAGTGATGCAAGTTTAATTGATGCTTAGTGTTCTTGGGTTAAAATCAAAAAGAAGGAGGTGTCGAAAATTCTCATTTTTCTTAACTTGACCTTTCATTTTAATGATCTGAAAAGAAACAGAAATTAACTCGAAAAAAAGAGCCAAATACCTTCCAAAATGATTCCAAAATAGAATTCTCGAAAAAATAGATTCCAAAAACACAATAGATTCCAAAATTTAAAAAAAGGCGGGAACTTAGATGACAACCCAATATATACCGATTGTTTTAGATAAACCTACATTAGATTCTTTAAGAAGGAATTCAGTAAAGGCTGGTGATGTAATATAATGTTTTTGAATTTTTCTATTAGTAATCCGTCAATGTAAATAATTATGTTCCTTTTTTTTTAAAAAGAGTAGTATTTGTAAAATGAAAGTTATGGTCAATTTTTCCTGTGTATTACAAATGAGTTTTATGTTCATAGATACTAGCATTTAGATTTCATGATGTTTCTCCAATATAATTGCTTTTACATTGTAAGAAATTTATTTGATAAGTACCGACATCTGAATTGTTGGATTTATTTTTTATCCCAATTATGTCTGATTGTTTGGATGTCATGGTGAGGATTCCACTATTAATTAGTAATCCGTCAATGTAAATATTAATTAGTTATTGTACTATTAATTAGTAATCCGTCAATGTAAATAATTATGTTCCTTTTTTTAAATAGAGTAGTATTTGTAAAATCAAAGTTACGGTCAGTTTTTCCTCATTATGTCTGATTGCTTGGATGTTATGGTGAAGATTCTACTATTAGGGATAACTAATTTATTTACTAGGTTTTTATAAATTGTTTTACAGGGTACGATTATGAATTTTGTTCTGTTTTTTTTTTTTTATCTTTTCTTTCATCAGCATGGCTAACGTTAACCTCCAGGAGAGTGACTTATTGCGCCTTCTTGTGTCAACATTTTCAAATGACATGACGTGGAAATATAATTTATCTGCTGCTACAGAATTTGAGTTACTGTTTTTTTTTTATTCTAGGTCAACCCGTTGATTGACTGCTTAACACTTTCTTTCTCTGTCTTACTCTCTTTTCCGTTCCTTGTCTGTCTGTCTGTCTTTGTCTCTCTTTCTCTTCTCTCTTAAAAAGCTTATTTTGAAATCTCTCTCTTCCCCTCTTATTTTTGAAACTCTTTCCTTTCCCTTTTCTCTTTATCTTCTTCTTTTTTTTTTTTTTTGCTTGTGTCTGGATAAAATTAAAATCCATTTATTGATGAAAAATATTTTGGTCTGAAGAGCTGGACTCCCGATCCCATGAAATAAGCTATTACCTATGGATTTCTAAGGACTCCGCTTTCATTATATATATATATATATATATATACTAGCAGTAGAGCCCGGGGATGTAACAGTAAGAGATAGATCAAGTATAAAGACTGAAAAATAAAATTGACAAAGATTATTGTTTAAGGTTGACGGACACGCATGTCTTAATTAGTTTTTTTTTTTTTAACGAATTGGTCAAACCCAAACTCAAACAAAAACATTGTTATAAGTCTACCGATTGAATAGAATTTTTCAATTTATTGTAAACAATTGTCTTGTAAATGGAATTTTAAAAGCATTCTGAATGCAACAATAAAGAAAAAAGTGTGCAAGACAATAAGAAAACTATCTGCCAAAAGAAAAGTGAAGTTTTGTTGAAATCGGTTGAAAAATGTAGGAAATCCGATCCCATATATAAACGAACACACACACACACACACACACACACACACACACACACACACACACACACACACACACACAAACCTGGGTTTTATAATAAGTATAACTCGATATGAGTTGTCCCCCTTTCATTCTCGCGACAGCGATGTCTCTTAATCGTGTTTTCAAATTGATTTCCTGCAAAAACAATTGTGTTTTTCTAATTTTTGGCGCTGTCAGAACAACCGCAAAGTAATTTTACGTAGTCCTGTGAAGTTTTGTTGAAATCGGTTGAAAAATTTAGGAAATCCGATCCAATATATAAACGAACACACACACACACACACACAACCTGTGTTTTATAATAAGTATGATATGAAGAAATATAGTGTTAAGATGTGTTATATTTATTGGAGAAAGTGCTCAATATCAGGGATAGAGCGTGTGTAAATATAAAAGTGAGCATAGAAGTCAACACTTAGAGGCGACAGTCTGTTTCATGCTAGATGCAGTGGTGAGGCCTGACGATTGCATCTAGCATGAAACAGACTGTCGCCTCTAAGTGACTGTTTCATTTATATATATATATATATATATATATATATATATATATATATATATATATATATATATAGTATTATTTCTATTGTTCTGCACATTGCAGAAATTTTAATAAAACTGACTTCTCCAGCTGGGATTGAACCTGTGATCCCATTGTAAGACAAAACCATGTTTGTCCCAGCTTTCTTAACTGCTCATGTGTACTTTCCTTAAAAGGGAAAAAGAGTTATGCATTTATTTATTATAAATATTTAAAGGTCTTGCGTTAATCGTTTTCTTTTCATTTTCAATTTTGTTTAAGTCATGTATGTTATATGCTTAGGAAAGATGTATTTCCTTTAAGAAGGGAGATATTTGAAAGAAATCCAGGACATAATTTAGCATTTTGGTGAAATCAATTAAATCTTTGCTATATTTAAGAGGGAAGACTAAGTAATAAAAAGGAAAAACGTTTGTAGAAGCAAGCAGTGTGGATGTAGAAGGACATACCTCCATACACACACAGTAAGATGACCAGAGGAAAAATTTATAACGAGATGAATTAAAAGAAATAGGAAAACTTTAGATAGATGGATGTGAACAGTCTGATAGTTACATTGATATGGACAGTATGAGATAAATTCATTGACGTGAACAGTCTGAGAGAGATGCGAACAGTTTGAGAGAGACGCGAACAGTCTGAGATAGATGTGAACAGTCTGAGATAGATAGACACAGAAAGATAGACAGATGTGAACAGTCAGAGACAGATGTGAACAGTCTGAGTCAGTTGTGAACATTCTGAAACAGATGTGAACAGTCAGAGACAGATGTGAACAGTCTGAGTCAGATGTGAACAGCCTGAAACAGATGTGAACAGTCTGAGACAGATGTGAACAGTCTGAGATAGAGGTGAACAGTCTGAGACAGATGTAAACAGTCTGAGATAGAGACAGAAAGATATATGTGAACAGTCTGAGACAGATGTGAACAGTCTGAGATAGATGTGAACAGCCTGAGATAGATGTGAACAGGCTGAGATAGAGATAGATAGATAAATGTGAACGTCTGTGACAGATGTTAACAGTCTGAGACAGATGCGAACAGCCTGAAACAGATGTGAACAGTCTGGGACAGATGTGAACAGTCTGAGATAGATGTGAACGGTCTGAGACAGATGTGAACAGTCTGAAACAGATATGAACAGTCTGAAACAGATGTGAACAGTTTGAGACAGATGTGAACTGTCTGAGACAGATGTGGACAGCCTGAGATAGAGAGAGAGAGAGAGAGATGTGAACTGTCTGAGTCAGATGTGAACTGTTTGAGTCAGATGTGAACAGTCTGAGACAGATGTGAACAGTCTGAGATAGAGACAGATAGATACATGTAAACGGTCTGAGACAGATGTAAACAGTCTGAGGTAGATGTGAACAGCCTGAGACAGATGTGCACAGGCTGAGATAGAGATAGATAGATAAATGTGAACGGTCTGTAACAGATGTTAACAGTCTGAGACAGATGTGAACAGTCTGAAACAGATGCCAACATTCTGAAACAGATGAGAACAGTCTGAGACAGATGTGAACAGTCTGAGACAGATGTGAACAGTCTGAGTGAGATAGATAAATGTGAACGGTCTGTGACAGATGTGAACAGTCTGAGACAGCTGTGAACAGTCTGAGATAGATGTGAACAGCCTGAGACAGATGTGGACAGGCTGAGACAGATGTGAACAGTCTGAGACAGATGTGAACAGTCTGAGATAGATGTGAACAGCCTGAGACAGATGTGAACAGGCTGAGATAGAGAGAGAGATAGATAGTGAACGGTCCGAGATAGATGTGAACAGTCTGAGACAGACGTGAAAAGTCTGAGACAGATGTGAACAGTCTGAGATAGATAGAGACAGAAAGATAGATATGAACAGTCTGACACTGATGTAAACAGTCTGAGACAGGTAAAGACAGAAAGATAGATATGAACAGTCAGATAGCTATATAGCATATTTTCTATTTATACGGTTTTTTTTATAACGTATAAACCTATTTATATTTGTATTTTATAACGCATTTTATGTTTATTCTTAGATAGATAGATAGATAGATAGACAGATAGACAGATATGAATAAACTTAGATAGATAAATAGATAGACAGATATGTATAAACTTAGATAGAGAGATAGAAAGATAGATAGATATGAATAATCTTAGATAGATATGAATAAACTTAGATAGATAGAGAGATAAATCGGTAGATAGATAGATATAAACTATTTTATAACATATTTTATGTTTATTTTAATATAGATAGATATAAACTCTAAATAGTTCTTAAACAAATTACATCTTATCCCTCTATTTCCGAGTGCTCTATTGATATTGCTATTAAGGGACACCTTTAAAATGTCTTGGTCAAAAGTTTAAAACTAATTTGAGAAGTGTTGTGTAGTTTTAAATGACGATTCAACACAACAAGACCCTTATACTGAAGCAGGGTCATTCCGATTAAGTGAGGTCTGTTTAGACATCGTCCTCGCTAAGTGTTTTCTAGAAGCATTGCGCTCGTCGATATCAACAGACCGCTAGAGTTTGCATTGCGCCCCTCTAGCCAAGCTGTTAAATATTTTAAAGAAACACTTTTAGATGAAGTATTTGAGAGAGTCAATTTATTTTATCTTATTTTAACATTTTTTTTTTGCAGAGAAGTGAGCTCTTTTCAAGTGGTCACTTGATATAAACCAAAAACGGAAACATCTCTTATTTAAAAAAATTTGCAGGATGTTAATTGGATAACTTGAGCATCCCCATCAAACAGGCCCTAAACCTGGACCAATCGTGATAAGTTGTCACACCCTCAAAGAGGCTCCTAACACCCGCTGCCATGTTCTATTTTTACAAGAGTCAGATCAAACTAAGAATAAAATATTGCTGCCATATCTGGGCTGGTGCTGCTCAGTCCTCGGGACCGGTACGTACTACCCACGAACCACCCGACGTGGGGTGGGACTGATTGAGGTTCCCGGGGAATAGTTAGTAAAACTCACTATCTTAGCATTTGCTTTTTTTCTAACTACATTTAATATGTTACAAATTAAACTAAGCACAACTATTAAAGAATGCAAATTTTTTGCAGGTTTTGACGTTATTCTGGAGTCTCGTATTTTGATCCAAATCTTGGATGTGCAGGTGGTGTAATGAATAATGGCTCAGAATTGCAAATCAGGCAGCCAAGTTTCAATTCCAGCTGGGTTCGTTAATATAACGAACCCAGCATAAGTGAATATCACTTATGCACAAATACAAATGGGAAAGGTATAAATCCACATCTTCTCCCCCCCAGCTATGGGTTAATTAGTTGGACTTGTATTAGTAAATCACTATTACTTCCAAAAAAATTCTTACAATCTTACAATATTTCATGGCTTTGAATAACGTGCAACAGGTTGATAAGCCATAAAAAATAAATCAATCTCACATTAAACTGACTTTGTGTCACATACAACTACCAAATAGAGAAGGATAAATTGACTGATCAAAGTGGAGTATCTGTACATTCTGCCTTTAAATAAAAGTACAAACAAGACAATCCCAGATTATTTTCATTTGTTTATTTACTAAGAGCGGCCATCTTGAAATGATTTATAACTATTATAGGCCTCATTCCTTCTTCTCATGGCAGGTAATATAGTGTCAAGGCCGGCTGAGGGTGTGGCTGATTTGGCAGTCCCCCACCGGACAGGGCATTTTGACCGTCACTATCTTATTAACAACTGCTTTTTTTCTACCTACATTTATATATGTTACAAATTAAACTGATTATTAAAGGAAGAAAGATTTCTGAAGATTTTGATGTCATTTTACGGTCTTTTATTTTCTCGCCTGTGAATTTATTTTGCTCATGCTAAATCTTGAATAAAAAAACACAAAATAAAATTCCTTATTTTTTTTATCCATGATGTTGAATGGATTAAAATTATTCAACATTTTAACAAGAAAAATCTCAAGTTGATGTTAAAAATTACTGCAAAATATTGTTGATTTATTTAAAATAGAATGATGTATAATGTCTCTAATTAGTATTTACATACATTGTATTTATTTTCAATTTTTCTAGTTGAATTGTTCACCTATATTGCATATGATCCATTATTATACATAATTAAGTTACAATAAAATTTGTATTTTATATGAATACTACCTTATGAAAATTGAGATGTAATCGTGTCTGTTTCTACACAAGTATTCGTCATTTTAATCAAATCATCTTTGTAGGTATACTAACAATTCAAATCCAATAAATATGGCATAAGATATAAAATAAAGGAAGCAAAAGGCTGGTCAATACTTTTAACCTATCTTGTCTCAATTGATATTCAAAAATTTCCTTTTAACCCAAATTTCACATTTACATTTCTCTCTCTTACTGTAATCACTGGAATACCAGAATGGTAACAGTAATTGCAATGTTAGTTGTTTCCTTATAAGGAAAGCTGTATTTGAATCAAATACAAATGTCATGGTTTGGGTCGGAACGTACTCCACAGAAACCCCAAAATCTAAGGTCCAAGCGTGATAGGAGGCCCTGGACAGTGCTTTGTGACATTTGCTATGTTATCAACGTTTGCTTTTTTCTACCTACATTTATATATGTTACAAATTAAAATAAGCACAACTGACTATTAAAGGTTGAAATATTTTTGCGGATCCTGACGTCATTATAGGGTCCCTGTCTGTTCTGCCGAAATCCATCAATTTATTTTGCTTATACTCATACTAAGTCTCGAAAAGATGCTATATAACATTCGCTATTTTTTATCCATAATAAAATAAAAATCATAATTTATTTAAGACTAGCTTAAAAGTCACGTGCTGACTTTAAAGCGGACGGCTAATTTGGCCTCTGACCCAAAACTAAAAGGACCGCTTACCCAGCTTAGAAAATTTGGAAAAAATATCTTTAAATTCTTCAGTTCATTCCATGGGACTTCAAAACCTCACTTCAACTCCGATTCGGGCTATAAGTGCAATTCTGATCAAAAGACCGATTTGAGCCGAAACTTTGTTTTGGGCCGAACTTGTAATACAGGCCGAAAATTGAGTTCTTCAAATTACAATCACCATGGAACTTCTATTGAGTTGAGTTCTTCAAACGAAACTCCGCGGAACTTGAAAACCTCACGTCACAAAATCTCTCACTTTAACCCAGATTCCTAGGTATTATGAAGAAATAAAATTGATTTCCTTAATTCACAAAGTTTTAGAGATATATTAAACTGAATTTAAAATAAAAAATTTTAAATTCAAAAATTTCTGTGTAACTTTAAACTCAATATAAATTAAAAACTTAAAATCACTAATTTTTTCAGTTATTTTAAAATTTGAATTACGGACACAAATCCCAATTCTGGATGTCCGAAAACCAGATGAAGGGCCGATTTTCCATCCCTGGATCATCCTGATTCCAAAAAGGTATAATATGTCTATGTAGAGCAAGTGTGTCCCGAGTTAGAGGAATTTCAGTCACACTGGTGGATTTAACCGTTCGTTTATTTAGATTTAAGTTGGAATGATATATTATAGCGATATTCTAAGCTTAGCTGTGGCACAAGGTCGAAAGTATGGAGCACCCAGTGAGGATCTACACTACTCAATCATAAATGATTTAGCGACACAAGTTTGCTAACCATTACATCATGTCGGAATGCCTTAGAATGATCTATTATGACATGTCTCTAGTTTGTATTTCAATCTTTCTAGTTAAATTTTTCACCTATAATGCATACTAGCAGTAGAGACCGGTGTTGCCCGGGGATGTAACAATAAGAGATAAAATAAAATTAACAAAGATTATTGTTTAAGGTTGACGGACACGCATGTCTTAATTAGTTTTTGTTTTGTTTTGTTTTTTTTTTTTTACGAATTGGTCAAACCCAAACTCAAACAAAAACATTGTTTTCAATCGTTATGAGTCTACCGATTGAATAGAATTTTATTATAAACAATTGTCTTGTAAATGGAATTTTTAAAGCATTCTGAATGTAAAAATAAAAGAAAAAATGTGCAAAACAATAAGAAAACTACCTGCCAAAAAAAAGTGAAATGTAGGAAGTCCGATCCCATATATACACACACACACACACACACACACACACACACACACACACACACACACACACACACACACAACCTGGGTTTTATAATAAGTATAACTCGATATGAGTTGTCCCCCTTTCATTCTGGCTACAGAATCGTGTTTTATCGTGTTTTCAAATTGATTTCATGCAAAAACAATTGTGTTTTTCCAATTTTGGGCGCTGTCAGAACCACCGCAAGGTAATTTTACGTAGTCCTGTGAAGTTTTGTTGAAATCGGTTGAAAAATGCAGGAAATCAGATCCAATATATAAACGTACAGATACACACGCACACACACACACACACACACACACACACAATCTGCGTTTTATAATAAGTAAGATGATCTATTATTGGACGTAATTAGATTACAATAAAATTTGTATTTTATGTGAATAGTACCTTATGAAAATTGAGATGTAGTAAGTAAGGTGTCCCGTATCATAGTTTTGGGGTGTGGTGGCTGTATTATAGATTTATCAGATGTTTCTTTTCCGTTGTCTGTTGAAACAATTTACACGGAGTTAAATTCCTGTACTTGCTTGAGCCTGTTCGCTCCGATTTTAGCACACGTTTTGTGTTGTCCCTTTTGCTAACGACTTTACATTCTGTCTTCTTTACAGTTGCTTTATATGCCATATACATCTGGGAGGAAATCGTTCAGCATGAAAAAAAAATAACCTTCACTCATTGGTTAATTTTCGTCGACGAAATCACGTGAAAAAGTATATTGTCACCCGTTCTATTTGTATGTATTTCTTTGGATTTCATTCTTTAATCATTTTATTTACCTATTCTTTTTTTTCTTTTACTCAGTACAAATTCTCTTTAATTATTTTTTAAAAATTATTCTACACCCTTTTTGAAAACTTTGTTTGAATATTAAATCTTTGATTTTTTTTCTGGATCATGCAAGTACTGGACGTTAATTTTATTCATGGCTCATAGACGTGAAGTGTTCGTCTTCAACAGGAAATGCATGTTGGCATAATCTAAGTTTTACAGGTTATATATATATATATATATATATATATATATATATATATATATATATATATATATATATATATATATATATATATATATATATATATATATATATATATGTATATATATATATGTATATATATATATATATATATGTATATATATATATATATATATATATATGTATATATATATATATATATATATATATATATATATATGAGAGAATTAGGAGGATTTGATATAATTATAATTAAGTAGTACATCGATGAATTACTTAATTATGATTATTTCAAATTCTCCTAATTATTTCTATCTGTATATCCTTGCTTGAACCGGCTTCTAATGCTCTGGACTGAGCGGTTTGTGGGTGGTAGTCGTAGCTCGTTGGGGCACAGTCCTATGTGTAAAGAGGAACTCGGATGAGTTCCACCACGGAATATGTGATCGAGCAGCGCTATACCGAGTCTGATTCGCCACCTCTTCGTCACCGAGGCCGGTTGGAACAGTTGGTATGGCGTTTGCCTGATAACGTATCTGCCCGAGTTTCAATTCTCAGTAGTGGATGTTGAGGTTTCTTCTAGACTCGATGAATTACTTAATTGCATATATATATATATATATATATATATATATATATATATATATATATATATATCAGTCAGTTATGTGCCATGCATTATACACATAGGCGATCATGTATCTTTCGGTACATGACTGATGAGGCAGATTTTTTTCCCGCAGTGAGTTGCAATTTCTATCTGCGCTAGACCAGTTGCCATCCAAGGCAACCCGGTCTGTCCTGCTATTTACCCATAACTGGGGGGAGAAGAAGAGGATTCATACCTTTCCCAAGGGTATTAGCACGTAAGTGAATGCAAATGATTCAATTGGTATTCGAACTCGGATCTCTCCGATTCCTCGATCCGAACCGATCTATCACTCCACCATGCTTTCAAAAAAAAAAATGTATTAAGAAACAAAATGTTCATTGGAAACAGATATAAGAGTCCTCCAACTGTTATGTATTATACCCTGCTATTTATTTCTTAAGCATTTACCCCACCCTAAGCGAGGCGGAAGTGTCACTAACACACAAGGGGTTACAGAGAGTGAAAGTAAGAGTAAAGAGAGAGAGGGGGGGTTAGAGAGAGAGAGAAAGTAAGTGTAAAGAGAGAGGGAGGGGTTACAGCGAGTGGAAGTAAGAGTAAAGAGAGAGAGAGGAGTGAGTTATAGAGAGTGAAAGTAATAGTAAAGAGATAGAGAGCGGGGGTTACTGAGAGTGAAAGTAAGAGTAAAGAGAGAGAGAGAGAGAAAGAGGGGGTTACAGAGAGTGAAAGTAAGAGTAAAGAGAGAGAGAGAGGGGGTTACAGAGAGTGAAAGTAAGAGTAAAGAGAGAGAGAGTGAGAGAGAGGTGTTACAAAGAGTGAAAGTAAGAGTAAAGAGAGAGTGAGTGGTTACAGAGAGTGAATGTAAGAGTAAAGAGAGAGAGAGGGGTTACAGAGAGTAAAAGTAAGAGTAGAGAGAGAGAGAGAGAGAGAGTGAGAGAGGGGTTACAGAGAGTGAAAGTAAGAGTAAAGAGAGAGAGAGTGAGTGGTTACAGAGAGTGAAAGTAAGCGTAAAGAGAGAGAGAGGGGGTTACAGATAGTGAAAGTAAGAGTAAAGAGAGAGAGGGGTTACAGAGAGTGAAAGTAAGAGTAAAGAGAGAGAGGGGTTACAGAGAGTGAGAGTAAGAGTAAAGAGAGAGAGAGATGGGTTACAGAGAGTGAAAGTAAGGGTAAACAGAGAGAGTGCGAGAGAGGGTTACAGAGAGTGAAAGTAAGAGTAAAGAGGGGTGTTTGAGGAAAGGATAAAGAGAAGGACAGGGATCAAGATATGGTCAGGTTGAGTTATGTTGGCACCGGTCAACTGATGGTTATCTGTTGAATGCTTCATTTCTTCATCTACTCTGTCCCACGTTGTGATTAATTGATCACAGTGTAGTGGGGATCGCGACTTTCGTTCGCACTTAAGCACTGAATTGAGTTGGCGAAACCGTGCTATGAAAACTAATGTACAACGACACCTCCGCTGGTGGAAATGCAAATTATAATAAATCACGAAGAAAGGTCGCTGGGTTAATTTTACTGTCGATACACAAAATTAAACCTCTCTTTGGAATCTAGTGACAAGGGATCTTCTGTTCTGCACTTGGAGAGAGTTAGCCATTACAACGCGGAATTATGTCGGTCGATAATTTCAGTCATCAATTCTCCAAGTCAGCCATTCTCTTGTCCGGCTCAACGTTAGAAATACTCTTCTCGACAATTCTCTTCGACAGCAGGACACGTGACGCCTTCCGGCGTCTTCTGGCGTCTCCGGCCCGTCGCCGGGTTCGAGCGCCTTCGGGTCGCTTCTCGCTTAACTGCGACTGCTCCAACTCTTCGCTCCAAATCTCTCCCTACTTCAAGTAGCATACGGTTTATATGCATCTTGCACAACTGTGATCACGCCTCCAGATTCATTAATATTCATTTTCCTCGAGCTTGGATTGACCACACCTGATTTTCGATAATGGGTCAATTATTTAAAGCAATATAAGTTTTGTCTTTCCATTCCTTTGTTAGTCCACAATTATTGTTTACGAATTTAATATTTATATAAAAATTTATTCCACATCAGCGAAAAATTCCCTCTGTTTTTAGAAATCCTTCCCTTTCTCCAACAAAATAATTTCTTGGCCATTTTCAAAACAATTAGTGGTTGTTTACATTTTCAGATGAACCAAATATTACCTGTGTCGATCGGCTGTTCTTATCAGATCAAAAACAATTTCAAATTAGCTGAAGGGATTTATCCACGTTTAACAAATAACTATGAAACCTTATTTTCCAAAACAACCGATTTTAAACCTCATTTTTTTTATATTCTGGCTTTTAAATAATTTTCTGCGCGATCAAGGAAATCACACTTATTTTTCCTGGCCTCATATTACAATGTTTTCACTTCAATAACTTACACATTGCAGCCTTTCTAATGCTTCAATTCTATTCAGGTTTCTCACATGAAGTCTTTTTAAATCCTATCTCTCATTCTTTCTAACTACATCCTTTCTTCTATCACTCCTATCTGCTCTTGCTCCAAATCTTCTGCACCCCCCCTGCATCCTAGTGGCTTCACGCCTTGCTTGGGGCGTAATGCTTAAAAAAAAAACAAAAAAAAAAAAAACTGATAGTATTTTTTTTTTTAGCGTTTTTAGAGTGATTGAAGAAAGGATGAGGAGAGGGATAGTGGATAGATCAAGGTAACTAGAGATGTCGATTGACATTACATTTGAATAGTTGGAGATTATAGCTCTCAGGGAAACAGTAATTGGGAAAGGTGTTCCAAAGGTGAGAGGTGCGAGGTATGAAGCTATTGGAGTAGAAGAGACGGCTACATTTAAAAGTTTCTACAGTGTATGGGTGGGAGCGGGATGCCAGCCTCGTAGGGCGCTTGAATTCATGGAGTCTGGGAACCAGTGAAAGCAGCTCAGCGAAGCAATTACCATGAAAGTATTTGTAGAAAAGACAGAGAGAGAGGCGACGGCGCGTCTGTGAGAGAGTGACTGTAGACGAGATGCCAGATCAGGGCCAATTAGATTACATATCCGTCTCTGGATCTAAGTGACACTTAAATAGTGTCACACATACACCGTTGTATTATAAGCATAGATATTGACAAATGATCAGAGTATACTCTTAGTCACAACATTTATGCAAATTAGAAAGGGTTGATCTGAGAAGCAGCCACTGGGGGACGCATGCGTTAATTGCTACGGCCTCAGAGGACTGGCCGTTAATAACTACCTTCAGAGACCTACCCGTTAGGTAGGACTTTATAATTCTAATGATTCCATAGCTAGACGGCTTGTGCTTTAATACTTTATGCCACACCTTGTCAAAGACCTTTGAAATATCTAATGCGATAATCCTTGACATGTATTTGTTGTCTAGTGCCTCATTGATTCTGTGAGTAATGGAAGGAGGATCAGCAATGGGTCGAGCCGGTCGAAACCCGTACTGCTTGTCGCTCAAGAGGTTGTTTCTATTTACGTGATCAATCTTCTTGTTGATAGCATCAAAAAGCTTCCTGACGACATTGAGATTAAGAGAGGGATGATCGCACGCCTGCATTCTTGAAAACCGGGCATATACTTGACACCTTCTACAGATTTTGGAAGGATTTCCCCTTGTTGTGGATTCCGAGATGAAATTCGGTCTCCAATGAATGACAAATGCAAGAAATAAAGATAAGAAATTAAATGTATTTACACATAATACAATGGGTAATTCTGTTAGTAAATCCAGGAACGCGGTTAGTCGTAATAATAATATATATATATATATATATATATATATATATACAGTCTCGAAGTAGGACTTCCTTATAGTCTACGTGCTTGTAACTGTGACTTTTACAAGCGGTTACCTCACACTATTACTCTACCTCCAACTCGATCACAATCTCTGCTCGATCTCTCTCTATATTCTGACTGACTCTGGGTATTTAACGGCAGCAGTCCAAGTAACACTCTGGTTGAGTCCACTTATATCAAAAAGGGGTGGACCCCATAACACCCCTTCAAGTCGTGATTTAATAATTTCGCTAAGATCGAGGAATATTCCGGGTCAGTATTATTAGGGACAACCATTGAATTTTTGCCTGGATCAGTGGCTTTCTTAGGATCAAGACTTTTAATGTATTGAGATTACCTAGACTGTAATAAAGATATTACTGAGATTGTGCGCAGTGAGACAGAGTAAGTCGGGAAAGGGATGGCTTAAGTCATCTAACGCTGAGTGAGACGAAGAGTTCCGCCTTATCTGACGAGGATGATATTACCTCGGAGCTGTTGCCTCTACTTAAAATTTGGTTAGAGATCTTCCAGAACTCCCGGGATTCAATTTGTTTGTTTTCAATCTTGGCCAGGAGCGCATATCTCCACTTTGCATTTTCTAGAACGACGATTGAGGGCAATTTTGAATGGCCAACTACACCATTTTTGCTGATATATATTGTCGTAGTGGTTAACGTGTGCTTTGGCTGCTGTACATTCAGGGCTGAACTAGGGATGGCTTTTCGGGGTTTTTTTCTGGAGTATAAAACTCTCCATTCCAGAAAGGATCCATTCTGAGACTAGGGCGGCAGTTTTGGAGGCAGCATGATTTAAGTCGCTCGAGAGAGGAGCTTCTGCCATGTAGGATCTAAAGCTGTCACTGTCTGCCTTAGTGTGGCGAAAAAATCGTTCAATAGAACGGCATATCAGGAGATATTTTCGGTTTACCCCGTGTGAGCATGTTCCGTCTACCCAGAAATCAAGGCAATAGAACTCCTGCTTGAATTAAAAACATGGTAACAGTCTGAGGCCTCAGGTAGCGAGACAAGCTCGCTCATCTATCTATCTATCTATCTATCTATCTATCTATCTATCTATATATATATATATATATGTATATATATATGAGGACAAAAAGACCTAATAGGAGAAGGGGATAACAAAGGTGGTTGTTGTTGGTGGTGATGGGGGTATCAGCATCCCTTACCCCCATTTAATTTAATATCATAGAAGCAAAATTACATGGACTAGTGGAGGCATTAGAAGATTATCTATTTGCTATAAGCAAAACATTTGAAAGTTTTTCAATTTAAATGGGTACATTTCTTCGAAGAGAAATGATTGGTGGGTACATATTTATTTTCAACAAGTTGATAGTACAATTTTACGCCGACCATCATAAAAGATCAACCAGTTCGCACTGTCCACACCTTTAAGAGGTCTGGAGTTGGCGCGTTCTTCTTCTCTGTTATATAAAAATAAAGTGTCGCGGCCGACACTTAAGTTTGAACATAGATCGCCAGTGAGCAAACACAGACGATCCCATTATTGAATTAAATAGACCACGTGACCATAGAGGAAACGCATAAGTAGGAAGTCGCGTGACGTCTAAATGATTGCAATTTCTATTCTTTCCTCTATTATTATTCAGATCTGCATTTCTAGTCTATCCTCTATTACTATACGGACCACTATTCTCTACTGTGTTCACGATAGTATTTCTCTATTCGGATCACTATGCGGTTGTTACTATTCGAGCGAGTATAATCGAGTAAGTACTATTACTGCTAGTTTTATTCGAAGGCGTCTGACATCAGTATTGTTTAACGGCGTTTTTATAGTTGTATCTGCGATTACAAAGTCTCTACTACAACGAGCATTTACGAAAGTGATAACGAGTATTCGTTGACATCACAAAAGTGACATTGAGTGTTCGTTGACATCACAAAATTCGTGACATTTAGCATTGTCTTTTTGACGCAATTTCAGTGTATATCGGCGCAGCTTCCTTATAAATTAACTTAGCGATTAAACTTAATTAATTTTTAGCTTTATTTTCACTGCTTGTGCCGAGACAATCACACCTATGTGGGGTGATATTTTCGTCCCACCACTTAACCAGTAAAGGAAGTAAGAGAGATTGGGGTTAATTGAGTGATTAGCTTCGAATACGGGTTACGACAGAATTAGGGAATGACAGTATGATATAAATTATTAAGTTTTAAATTAGTGCGAATATCATCGATTAAGTGAGAATCAAGCAGAGAATTACGATTACACATTACATAGCAAATTCATTAAATCCACTACTCTAGAGAAACGGAATAATACTATATAAAAATTTGAATCCACTGCCATAAATACATATATATATATATATATATATATAAATATAGTATACATTCCATAGATATATATATATATGAATTAAGTTTACATTCCATATATATATATATATATATATATATATATATATATATAAATAATTACACATTCCATATATATATATATATATATATATATATATATATATATATATATATATATATATGGATATATATATATATATATATATATATATATATATATATATATATATATATATATATGGAATATACTTATTTCATATATATATATATATATATATATATATATATATATATATATGCAATATATAATTATTTATATATATATATATATATATAAAGTATATATTATTTATATATATATATATATATATATAATATATATGGAATGTATACTTATTTCATATATATATATATATATAATATGTATATATATATGATTTTTGTTTTCTTTTGTATTTTTTTTTTTTGCATATATTATTTCGGACATATCAAAGTCTTTTTGGCAAATGACTTTAAACAAATATATATATATATATAAATGGTATGGTTGTAACACGTCTAAAATTTTACGAAGATGTATATAAATTAAAAATAAATTACGATTAAAATAAATGCGTAAATATAAATATATTAGAAAATAGTATGGAAAACGTTTCATACTTATTTTCAATTATATATGTATATATATAATATATATATATCTATTTTGCAATCTATAAATTATTTCAAC